GTGAAGCATCTCATACAGTCATTTATCTTATAAATCCGCTGCCAGTAAGGTGCTTGGTGGACTGTTGCCTCATTATGTTCTCTATGGACTTCATCCAGATTATACTTTCTTGAGAACCTTTGGTTGCATTCGCTATTTCATGTAGACAGGACATTGCAAACTACATTTTCGTCATGGGCTGATGCATGCCAGTTTGTGGACTACACCGTGGATTATAACGAGAATCGATGTTTTAATCCCAAAATTGGCGTATTTAAATCTTTAGACATGTCATTTTCATGAGGGGCAGTTTCTTATGCCGATTGGACCAGCTGATCATGGCAATCAAGCTGCTAAAATTTCCACTCAGAAAGCTAGTTCTTCTTTGCAACAATCGATGACTATTGCCGTGCAACCTTTGTTGACTTCTAAAGGACAGTCATGCAGCAGCTACTCCTCGAGTTGTACATACTCTGGTATCGGACTTGACAGCAACTACCTCCAATAATAGTAGCCATGATGGAGTGGTTGATGATGCTAAGAAAAGAATCACAAGTAATGCAGGTGACAACGTGGCACCACCAATAACAGCAGCATTGTACCCATTTGCTGGGCTGATCCAGTCATCGCATATCAGCGCTCCTGATTCCCTACTCAGCCCTTCTCAGTCTTCTTCCACTTTGGCACCTGTCTTTGTTTGCGAATCTATGCATGCACGACATCCACTAAATAAGGGGGTCAGCTATGACACTTTCTCAGTTCAGCACCAAACCTTCTTAACAGATACAAAAACATGCCAAACTCTTGTAGTTTTAAATTCACATGAAGGAATTATCATTGGATCGAAGCGATGAATGAACAGATCAAAGTGCTACATGAATGCCAGAGAAGATTGTACATAGACCATCCGATAAGAATGTAGCAAGCTATAAATGGGTTTATAAAATTAAGTACAAGGCTGGTGGTAGCATTGAACATTTCAAAGCTCGCTCTGTAGCAAAGGGATGTGCTCAAGAAGAAAGCTTGCACTATGATGCAACATTTAACGCCTTCACAAGATTGGGCACCATTCAAATTGTCCTCTCCTTAGCCCTCACTTATGGTTGGGATCTTCAGCAGCACAATCTTAAAAATGACTTTCTTCATAGTGATCTAAAGGAAGAGGTCAATATGGAACAGTCACCTATGTACAACATAGGAGACAAGAAACCCAAAGTATGCTGACTCACCAAGGCAATTTATGGACTTAAACTAGGTGCAATGAGCATGCTTTGAGAACTTTCACAAAGACATAACCTCTTGTAGTTTGAAGCACAGTCAAGTCGATTACTCATTGTTCATCTGTACTGGCCCACATGCGATCATGATCTTACTACTTTATGTCAATACAAGATAATATTGTTATTACCGAAGGCTTGTGTGGCCATCTTCAAGCCATAAAGGAACTCTGAAATGCCAAATTCCACATGAAAGATTTGTGTCAATACAAGATAATATTATTACTACCGAAGGCTTGTGTGGCCATCTTCAAACCATAAAGGAACTCTGAAATGCCAAATTCCACATGAAAGATTTGTGTTGGCTGAAGTCTTTTCTTAGCATCAAAGTGGACAGAACTACGACTACAATCATTCTCTAACAGCATAAGTACCCCTTAGATTTACTTTCTTGCAGTGGCATGAAAGACTGCAAGCCCATAATGACCTCTGCACCTATTCTTCAAGCAGAAGAACGTAAAATTGTCTCTGATCCCTAATAAGACCATAACATTGTTGCAGCACTCCAATACCTAATATTCATGCAACCAAACACTGCTTTTTCAATGAACTAGATCTCCCAATTTATGCATGCCCCATACTTTACTCATTTTGAAGCAGTGAAATGCATGAACTGGTGACGTACTACTATACTCTCGAGGAGATACTTTTTCCAATCCTCTTAAGATTGTTGCCTACTCCTATGCTGATTGGGCCAAACATCCAGCATTTCTTCACTCCATATCTACTTACTGTGTCTTTTTGGGACAAAATCTAGTTTCACGGAGTAGCAGAAAACAAAGAACCGTGGTTAGGTCAAGCACAGAAGAATACTGATCTATGCTAAAGCATCTTGGACTCAGGATCTGTTGGCAGACCTTGGTCAAAACATCTCTATCACTAGTACATTGTGACAACTGAAGCACCATTTCAATTTATCTCAATCCAGTCCATCATAGGAAGACTAAGTCATCGAAATTAATCGGCACTTCATAAGAGAAAAAGAGTGATGATCAAGAAATTGTGGCGAGATTCAGCAGTACTGTAATCAAGTTGTGGATATTTTGACCAAGGTGCTCACTAGGAATCAATATGGTTTCTTAAAGCCAAACAGCCAAACTGTCCATGGTTCAAACCACAACAGAATTAGCGAGGGGGCATTAGCACTATGAGATGTTTTGTCCTAGTATTGGAGCATTCTTGTAATATTTGCTATTCTTATTGTTGGGTTTTTGTGGCCATTTAAAGGCCTTATGAGAGCATGTAATGAAAATATATAATGAATTGACTCCAATGGGAGTATGGTCCAGCTTGGACTGTAGGGCATTACCAATGCCATAGACTCACATGAGTTTTGACTAGCTATGACTCAATGTGAAGTCCAAAACCCGTAGTCATGGGCATCATGTAAGCACAACCAATAAGGGTTTCAATGTGGGGTTATCCCTAGATGAGGTCGGAGATGTGCCCATGACAGTTGGTCAGGGAACATGGATTTGACCCCTATGTGTGATGGATGTGGCCTGAGAGGACAAGGGCCTAAATCCTCATCAATACCATCACACGACATGTACACTAGATAGTCGTCCGGGAAGCAACCTTTTGGATAAGGGTGTGTGACGTGTACATGTGTAGAAGAGATGACTCCCTGCAACACTGGACTTTGTTGGAAGAACCCATGGAGCAAACTGCTTAAATGGGCATGGACTTGTCCTCAATGAGGGACCTATAATCCATGGTCAAGGATCGTATCTTCTCCACTTATTGGCTGACTTTGATGGTCTAATCACGAACCCCTACGATGGGTTGTGGGTCATGGGATCAGTTAGGTCATTTTGAAAAGGTGCAGTGAGATGCGGTCTCTAGAGAGGATGGAGTCCTCAATGTTTTTGTCTTAATGCTAACTCTATGTATCCAATTCCCATCAAAATTTTTTAGATATGTTTTAATTATTTTTCAGATAATTAAAATGAAATTTTAGACCTCTCTAGGTATTTTATTTTATTGAAATATGATTTTTTTTTAAACAAAGAAAAATCAATTTCTTGGATTTATTTTAATCAAAAAGAAAAATAAAATATTTGGAGGTTTTATAAAAATTATTTTATTATCTGAAAATTATTGGGGGCCCATTGGGCTCATTGGGCACACCATATTGTGGGGATGTGAGGCCCAAATGGCCGCCCACCTCGTCCATAGTTTCCTAAATTGAAAGATGGCAATTATGCCATATGTTGACTTGATATTTTAGAAAACCTTTTTGTATAGAGATTCGGATTGATTTCAAAATAGGAATGTGTAAGAAATTAATTTTGATTGATTGATTACTTTCTCTTCACAAAATATTTGATGGGAATGGAGTTATAGAAACTGAGGGATAAGGTTCCATATCATTCTTTTAATCATGATGGCTTATTTAGGGAATGAATGGTTGAGATCTCTTCATCCCATAGGTCTCCAAGATCAAAAGTCAAGACTAAACCTCATAACGATGGCAAAACCCTAACCCTAGAAACCCTAGCCTCTTGTATATAAATACTAGCTATGGGGGTTCTATTTCACATCTCTCTCTCTCTCTCTCTCTCTCTCTCTCTAAACAACCAAAGGGGGCACGCCTCACTCAAGCCTTCTCTCTCTTCTTCTCTCATCCAAATTAGAGTTTAGGAAAGAGTTAACCCTAAGGGGTGGCACGCCCAAGACACACAAGTCCTAGCCCTAGGTCCTTGCCTCAAGCTCATATGTTGAGCCTTGATCAAGGAAATGCCATGTGATGCTCTTTACGGTTTTTGCCTAGGCTTCCCTAATTGTGAAGTGCGTTTGTGAACCAAGATCTCATGCGCCATCGGTGGAGGAGACCGGGTTTGGGGTGTACAAAATCCTTAGGGGTAACCTGAGGCAAGGTACACAGTATTTCACATTTCGTGTTTTTGTTGCTTTTAATGCTTCCTTATGTGATTTTCAGTTCTACATGATGAATGTAATTTTCTTTTAATGGCATGCAAGTGAGAGATCTTGGCTACGCCATTAAGTCAAAATTGCAATTTGGACACTTGAAAGTGATCCGGGTGGCAATATGTATAAAAAGGTAGAAAAATTTTAATCGGTATTGACTTGCCCGGTCACCTAGTCCACCTTTCACTTATGTTTATTATTTTTGTGATGTTCCTCCTTATATTTCTCATGTATGTAACGGTACAAGAGTAAATGGTTCGTAACCTTAGAACGTGTATATTCATGCATATGGGTTTCCAAATAAGTTATGGAACTTATCTCCTTCTCTTCCACACATCATCTATGGGTCACCTCCTTCTCTTCCACACATCCTTTGTCTTCTTCTCCTCTTACTTTTAATAAAGTTTCACAAACCTCCATAACTAAGTACGAGGATAAATCATCCAAGTCATGAGTGAACCAACCATGTCACTTAAGTTACTGAACAAATCAACTTAGTCATATGCATGGGCGTGGAGGAGTCCACTCCAGCAAACCCTTGGCAATTCATGCAAAATGTATTGAGCATCTCACAATAAGATGATACTAAATTCTTCAATAAGAAAAACCAGTAATTGATTTTTAACCAATTCAACCCAACCAACTATCCAGTTGACAAAAAATACTAATCCTTCAAGTATCATCAATTTTGCATCATCATTTAAAAGTGGGATATAGGTTTCGCATATAGACCAATGTATAATAGTATCAACATGAACAGTGCCAGGAAGGCATGTCACCATATAGTACACTTGAAAAAGGTAGGAAACTAACCTGGGGGGGATGTGTCATGATCACAGATATATACTCGCATACTCCCCTGTGCAACAGTTTAAAGATGTCAACAAAGTACACTAGACATCAAAGCAAATACATTTAAGCTTTTGCGATACTATCAATTCTCAGATAGATTTATCTATAAAAACTAGATTAGATAAATTGGGCATTTCGAATTCATAACATAGACCATTATGCCTCCTAGCATGGGAAAGATTATCCAAACAAACATAAACACTATGCTGCATACAATTCAAAGTGTTAAACATTTACAGTTATTCATAAAATAAGTAACTTATAAAAGGCTGAAACAAAGTGCTAATAAGTACAATGTCCAAAGAAAGGATATGCAAGAATATCAGAAAAATTAGAAGTGCTAAATCCGAGTGCAGGAACTCTGGTGAGGGATAGGGAGAAGAACAAATAATTATTCAAATGTGTTCAGTTACAAGAGTAAACCTCGCACTAAAGCTAAATGTTTCTACCTTCTTGGGAATTTATAGCTTCCGAAGAAATTTGAACTCAGAGCACATGGTAACCAAGATTGATGCATTTCAAAACCAAAAATAAACGTCCCAATGTTATATCATATATATTTTTGAGAGAGAGTAAGATGACTATATTAAGTTCCGATATTGTTACAAAAAACCCACAAGATGCGATTATAGGACAGACCGGATACTCAGATTGTACAAACAAAAAGCAGCAATAGAACTAAGGGGTAATTATACAACGAAAAATTAGTAACAAAGCATCAAGATGGAATGCAAAGAGGAAAATAAGTAAAGGAATGTAGAGGGAAAGAGAAGAAGAAGATGAAGGAGGAGAAGAAGGGGGAGGAGGAGGAGTTAAGGAAAAATTGCAAAAAGAGAAGGGGAAGAGAAGTGAGGTGCCTGTCAGCCACTACATGAGAAGCCAAGAGTTAGAATAGGAAAGAGAGGCATGAGAAAGGTAAAAAGGATAGTTCAGAAGAAGAAAGTGAGAATAGATGACAGTGACAAATAAAAGGTAAGAAACAACACACTTAAAGGGGAAGAGGAGAAGGGGAGTAGTGCAGTTTTGATAGAGAAGGTTCAATGGAAAGCCACGAGAACCAGAAGGCAACGAGGCCCTGAGCGAGAAGAAGAGGTTAAAGAGTAGGAAAGGGTAGAGGAACGTAAGCAGAGAATGGCAGAAAAGAAGTATAGCATAAGGGATGTTTGGAGGAGAGGACAGACGAACAAGAAAGACTGGCGAGTGTGAGAGAGTGAAGTCTGGGAGCAAAGAAGTAGTGAGACAAGAAAGAAAACGGGGGGATGTCAGCCAAAGCATACATACACCTGCCAAGCTCTCGGCCACAACAACTACTTTGTGGCTGAGGGATGGGGGATGGGGGATTTCAGCCCAGCTAGTGATCCACCATAACCCGCCAAGGAAAGTACTTAGAATTAGGGAGAAAAATGGTCCCCTAATCATCTTCCTGCACAGGACGCCCAAAGTAAGGGCGTGGGGGGGAGCAACGTGCATAAGCATCATTCCTCCAACATCTGTTACATGGCAGCAAAGTTTCATACTCTCTTTCTCTTTTTTTTTAATTATTATTATTTTTTCTTTTTTACCTCTTTTTTCCATTTTTCCGCTTTTTTCCTTCCTAGTTTTTTCTATAGTACTTCTTATTTTGTGCTTTAGATGGCAAGAATGGAGAGGAGGGGGAACGAAAGAATGAGAGAAACGTAACAGAGAGATATGGGTCCTTAGAGGGTGGGGAAGATTTCCAAACTATGCAGGGGAGAGATTGTGAAAAAAGGAACAAAGTGTGATTAGAGGAAGCAAGTTAGAGAGACCCTCAACGAACTGAGAAAAGGAAAGAGAACTTCTATAGAGTGGATGAGAGTGAGGCAGCTGAAAAGTATTGGGTGAGGAGGATAGCAAGGACAAAGACCCCTTAGATTTCGGGAGACCAATATAGAGATAGTATGAGGTACCAGCTAGAGATAGAGGGAAGGGGTTAGAGACTTAGAAGGAAAAAGGGAAAAAGAGCCTTTGAGAGCGAGAAAAGAGGAAAGTCAAGATATAAACTATGATAAGAACACCATGCTAAAGCACCATCCTTTGCTAGCCTGTCAAGGTTGTGTTGGCCTCTCTCGGAATTTGTCTGAATGTCACTTGAATGGCCCTACAAAGGATGTTATCCAAGACATGAACTAATCTCCAAGGAGGCAGAGCTGTCTTAGATGCCTAAGCTTTGACATTTGAGAGTCTCCTTCCATAATGAGGTTACATATTCAGATGCTATCAGGATGGACCATTATGGACCTTCTAGAAAAGTCGCTGCTTCAACAGTATGAGAGCCAAAGAAGCCAATGGAACCTCAAAACAAGAGGATGATTCTTTCACTATTCACTAGCGTAACTCCAAAATCCGAGGGGCTAGGGTTTCCAAGGGAGCAACCACCAGTTTAAAGTCTGAGGGAACCAAGAGGAAAGGGTACCCAAACTGCCCAAATCCTGGGAGGTCTAGGGGACAGGTGTCAAGACCCCAACTTGGTGCATGTGTGCTGGTCAAGGGCACGGCCAGAAGCCTCCTTGACACAATCACCGACTAGCCAACTAGCCCCTCATGCTCATAATAGGCATCCATGCTACTTTGCAGCAAGTAGCATCCACTCGTAGTCACCCAGTTTTTTATATCTACATTCATATTTGAGAGGGTGGTGTAGCGGACAAGGAAAGTGCACATCATGATGCATGGGAGCGTGAACTTCCCCACCACATGGTGGCACTAATCGATGGTGGCTGACTGAGGCACCCGGCTGGGCAGGTGCCAAGTTTGAATTCAAATTCAAACTAAGCAAGGCATGGCTAAAGACATGGGCTGCGAGAAAGGGGGAGATGGTTACACAACTTGACCTATGCTGAATGGCCAGTGGCCTCACCCCAGGACGTGGCTTGAGGGTGGTGACTGATCATGCAGACTGTTGTAACTGGCCGAGTGATGACTCTTGTAACCGCCCAAGACAACGGCTGCATACCTACCTGCCAGGTGCCTTGGACCAAGTGCCTTTGAACAGGCCATGTGAAATGGCTAGTCACCACATGCATACCATTTGAATTTAGTCGGTTGTAACTTGGGATCTATATATACCCCTGGCCCAGGCCCTTGGTGCGCATCTATGGAAGTATGCTTTGTAACTGTACATCTTGAATAAAGTGGGCTACGGCCCTCAGCCCATTTGTCTTGCACTGTGCACGAGTGTGATGCACGTGTTTTCTTACTTGGTGCACACAGAAAGGCTGAACTTGATCCTTGATGACATGGCTAAGAGTCCGGGCTGCGTGGTACTAAATGAAAGAAATGGCCCTGTGGTCCTAGGGAGAATAGACTATCCCAGTTACTAAGGAAGGTAGAGAGACCTAGGTTACTATAGACCAGCAATTCCTGAGCCCAGAACCAAGTCTCGGATGTAATAGAGTTAGAGAGGGATTGAGATTCGAAAGATACTTGCATTTCACTCCTTCCAACCCTCCTTAGCAACGCAAAGACTCCACTGCCCAAAGATGTCTACCATTTTTTGGAATAGGAGGGGAGGGGAGGCCATAAATAGTTGGGATAGGGGTTCTGGCATTACCCAAAGTAAACCAAATAGATGAAGCAGATTTGACTACAGGGTGGAGGTGAACTGGAAAAAGAGAAAAAGATGATTAGTACATGGCACATAATATCAACAAGAAATGGCTAATAAATACCTAGAACTAAAATTACAATTTCACTTGAATAAAAGAAACGATCGAGATTACAGTCAAGATAATGAGATGGCCAGGGTCTTCAACCAACAACGACCAGAGCATCCATGTTACTTCCCATAGTGTACTCCGTATTTTTCATGGATCCCAACTTATAATATAAGGGTATAACCATTGCAAACAATTATCGATATTGAGACTATTAGGAGATATGGTCAACAACGCGAGACAGTATGGTTGTCTTTATCACAATATGTGCATTTCTTCTTTGGGCGACCTTTGGTGGCATCTTCATTAGAAGAACGGTCTCCCTATGAGGCCTTTGAAACGAGTAAAATAGAGGCCTCAATAAACTGCGGTTGAACATGCAAATCTTGTTGCTTTTACTTCTTGAAGAAGTAAAGCATATGCACACTGGAATGTGGGAAGGGGATCGATAAAACCTGGCTTCTCAGAGCACCATATAATTCGTATAAGCCCATTAAAAACTTTATTACTTTTTTTTTTGAGAGAAAGTTAACATAAAAAAAAAAAAAGTTGTATTACTTTCACACACTATTGGATATCCGCCATGGCCTTGGCCAAACCACAAGAACAAAGGGAAAGGGTATTATAAGATTGCAATTCGTCCCAATAAGCTTTGAGCTTTGTAAAATAAGATGCAATCGAAAAAGAACCTTGTTGCGGATTGCAATGTCACAAGAGCTTTGATAAATGTGAGGCACATTTTTCTGAGAAAAGCGATCATTAAAATCACTCCAAACCAGTGTTTTAAATTGCAAGATGCAGCCCAATGCGTTGGGGGGGCTGATGCGGCTCAATGCGGTCCAAATGCAAGTGCATCACCCCGATCTTTTCAATAAATATAAAAATATTCTAAGAAATCTAAAAAACTAGGTTAATGCATAAAAAAAAATCTAGAGGTGATTTATGTAATAATAGGTATTTAGTTTATTCATTAACTCCAAAAGTATCAATGATTGGAGATTTTGTATCCACTAGCCCCTGATAGACCATAGAAAACATTAGAAAGTAGAAAGTAGAAATTTGAAACTAGCTTCATAAAGCATTCAACAACCACAATCACAAATTTGCAACCACAAACTTTGAAGTTACAAAATGCAAACTAAAAGTCTACGAAGATTAAAGAGTTCAAAACTTGAAGCAAATATCGCTTTCTTCTCGGCCCTTTAAACCCTCGATTTGCTGTCAAAACTTCGCTAAAGCTGCCTCAAATCAACATCCAAAATAAACAAATCAACAACCCAAGATCAACCAAGACGAAAATCTATGAATTTCAAAAAAAAAAAATTTCCGCCAC